GATTCTCCCTGGCCGCGCTGGCAGCGGGCCTTTTCAAAGTAGCCCACCGCGCCGGCCGCTGCCCGGGGCCCCTCCCCTTCCTGCAGCGTGCCGGCCTCCGCCCCCTCTGCACGCCCGCCGCACTTCGCCCTGCAGGGCTTCGAGGGAGGGGCCAACACTCCCCTGCCGGCGCAGGCGCGGCGGCAAGTGGGCCTGCCAGCTCCTCCGGTTTACGCCGAGGTAACGTCGGGGGGCTCGGGGCTGACCGCCGGTTCCCGGTGGGGGGTGACTCTGGCCAGCCTCCCCCCGGGGCAGTGACAACCCGTCACAATAGTATCAAGAAATTTTATCTCTGCATCCCATCCTGAGGTGACATGTTCCCAAGTCAATATGGGGATAGTTGAAATCCCCCACTATTATTGCGTTTTTTATTTTGATAGCCTCGCTAATATCCCTTTGCATTTCATAGTCACGATCACTGTCCTGATCAGGTAGTTAGTAATATATCCCATATGCTATATTCTTCGTATTGGACCATGGAATTACTATCCATAGAGATGCTATGAAACATTTTGGCTCATTTAAAATTTTTGCTTCATTTAAGTCTACATTTTCTTTCACGTATAGTGCCACTCCTCCACCAGCATGACCTGTTCTGTCCTTCCGATATATTTTGTACCCTTATATGATTGTGTCCCATTGATTGTCCTCTTTCCACCAAGTTTCTGTGATGCCTATTATATCAATATCCTCCTTTAAAACTGGACACTCTGGTTCACCCATTTTACTATTTAGTCTTCTAGCATTTGTGTATAAGCACTTTAATAATTTGTCACTATTTATCTGTTTGCCATTTCTTGATGTGTAAGACTGTTTCATTTGATTGTGTCTAATCCAAGCTAAACTTCCTTCCTCTCCTCCTGACTAGAACATAGAGCATCTCTATTAATAGAACTTCCCCTAATAGATGTCTCTGTCTAATCCATGTTCTCTACTGGCTTTCCCCCGCCCTTAGTTTAAAGACTGCTCTACAACCTTTTTAATGTTAAGTGCCAGCAGTCTGGTTCCATTTTGGTTTAGGTGAAGCCCATCATTCCTGTATAGGCTCCACCTAATCCAAAAGTTTCCCCAGTTCCTAATAAATCTAAACCCCTCCTTTCTACACCATCGTCTCACCCACGCATTGAGACTCTGAAGCTCTGCCTGCCTACCTGGCCCCATGCGTGAAACTGGAAGCATTTCATAGAACGCTACCATAGAGGTCCTGGATTTCCGCAACCTTCACACCAGGTAGGCAAGTCACCATTCGGTTCGCCTGGTCATCACAAACCCAGCTGTCTGTTTCTAATGATCTAATCCTGCCTTTTCCAAAAGACTGGAGTTCCCTCCCCCAGAGATGTATCCTCGGTGCAAGAGGATACCATAGTATCCTCTGGAAGGAGGGTCCAAACTATGGGATCATTTCCCTCTGCTCCAGTTGAATGTTCTCCTTCCCTGAGCCTTTCATCCTCCTTAATAGCACAGGGGGCTATCTGACAGGAGGTGAGTCAGTTCTACAGTGTCCCGGAAAGCCTCATCCACGTACCTCTCAGCCTCCCTTAGCTCCTCCAATTCTTCCACCCTGGCCTCCAAAGCCTGTATGCAGTCTCTGAGGGCCAGGAGCTCCTTGCACACACATGCCACCCACCCACAGGGCAGGTAATCATGAATGCTACTTTGAGTGCAGTAAACAGGATAGCCCCCACTCTGCTGCTGGGATTCTGCCTGCATTCTCTCCTACAGCTACTTAGGTTATTGATAGGGTATTTATTTAAATCAGGAAGTTTTGGTTTTAGTTAAGTTTTAAAGTTTTAAAGAATGGCAAGCATACCTCACCCCCTTCCAACTCCCCTGCAAAACTCCCTCTCGAAACTCCCTGTTAGCTGCCCCTGTTCACAAAGCTCCCTGGTTGCTTATTCACAGGCTTTATAAAGCCCTGGTCTTCCTGATAGCTCCGTCCCCTGGCTATGGCTCAACCAATGAACAGAGGGATCCAGATTTCAAATCCTCATTAAGATGCTCATAGCTTCCAACTGCCGGCCACAGCACACCGTCCTTCAAACAAACAGCTCAGCACTTGAATCGCAAAACAAAGAAAGACAGATAAACACAAGCTCAGCACAGAGTTTCTTTCAGGCAACTAGCAAGTAACCCACAAACACACACTACAGACAGCCACTTACCTCAAGGGTCCCGTAATTGCTCCTCCTTCACCTGGAGAACTTCCTCTCGAAACTCAGTTAGCTGCCCCTGTTCACAGGGAAGCAGCTGGACTCAGTTTGTTGACAGGCATGGTAAGGCATGTTCCTACAGTTGGATGAGGGTCCAGGTCTGGTCGTGTCAGCTGGACAGGGCAGTGGCTCACGTGGCTGCCCTCTGTTTCCAGCACAGGTGTCACTTTCCCATCACGCAAGACCCTGCAGGCCAGAGGAGGGATGGGATTCAGTCGTTCCAGGCAGGGCAGCAGCTCACATGGCTGCCATTAGTGTCCAGCACACCTTGCTTCCTGGGAGAGTACTACTGTCCCATACTGCAGAAGCCAGGAATGTGGGAGAGGGAAGAGGCAGAAGTCCTGCCTCACTGGAGATGGGCAGGTGGAAATAAACAGCGACACAGAAGCTAACAGATTCCCTTCCTTTCTCCAGGTTATCATGCAAGACATCAGTCTTCTCTGAATTATACAGAGTGATAGGGAGCTGATGCTGACTAAATGTGGCCAGAAACCTGGGCCTTATGCTGCAATGCCTTGCTCTTCAATGATGCCAGACCACTTACTTCTGGCGTGGCTGGGAAGGTGTCCTATTGTGGAGGATGCAATAAGGGTAGCCTCCCCAGAAATCTTGTGAGAAGGATCAAAGACTTCCTCTCTGAGAGCTTCATGGAGATGTGCATGGAGGATTCTCATTCCATCTCCAGACACATTAGCAAGCTGTTCTGGGTCCCCTGCGCTAAGCTGGCACAAAGAATGCCACAGATCACCACCTCACACCAATTTTCCTTAATCCTCTTGGACCAAAAGGAAAAAAATGTGAACTCACCAGAAGTGCACTCTCCAAGATCAATGTCTGAATGTTGTGAGATGTCCTGGAAGGAGGGGATTGGCTCCAAAGTGATGAAAAGTTTTTGGCTCTCAGCGATATTGGTTGCCCTGTTACCTGCTGACTGTTCTCTCCCTCCTCCTCTTCCTCATCTATGCTTTCCTTCACACTGCTGACCAAGGGTGCTGGAGTGTCTTGGGAGGAAACCACAGTCTGGCTTGGGAGGGTGGTCAGGTGTCCCCCCCCCCCCTCTGGCTGTAGAAGCAGCATGTTTGTGGCAGTGATCCAGATCTTCTGTTTGCCTCCTTTGTCTTTTGATAGGACTTCCTCAGCTTCTGATTTTAGAAGGGTGCTGCTGGGCATCCCTTGTGTATCCTTTCTCCAACATGAGTTTTCCCATAAATGTCCGTGTTTCTCTTGCTGGTTCATAGCTCCATGAGAATGGATTCCTCTCCCCACACATCAGTGACATCCGGGGTCTCCTGCACACTCTATGCTAGTTCATATCTGTGAACCTGGGCACTTGAGCCCATAGAGTTCACAGAACTTGAACATGGAACTCATGGCCAGGTGCACTACTTAGGAGTGCTGCCTACTCTGATGTTTTAATCACAAAGCATTCTGTGATGCCTCTCAGAGGCCGTCAACTTTCGCAGTACTGGGTCTACACTTTTGTAAAGTCAACCATGCAAGGTCGAATTTGACGTTACTACTCATAGAAGCAGGAGTACCAAAACTGACTTTAGCAGCCCTAAATGTTGACAGAAGAGGCCTGGTAGTGTGGACTCATTGGTTAGAACATCCACCTTATGTGGCTAAATTTGATCCAAACTCCTAGGGCTCGTCTACATTGGCCCCTTTTCCGGAAGGGGCATGGTAATTTTTGAAATCGCAATAGGGAAATGCGCGGGGGATTTAAATATCCCCCGCGGCATTTAAATAAAAATGTCCGCCGCTTTTTTCCGGCTTTTAGAAAAGCCGGAAAAGAGCGTCTACACTGGCCCCGATCCTCCGGAAAAAAAGCCCTTTTCCGGAGGATCTTATTCCTACTCAAAGTAGATCCTCCGGAAAAGGGCTTTTTTTCCAGAGGATCGGGGCCAGTGTAGACGCTCTTTTCCGGCTTTTCTAAAAGCCGGAAAAAAGCGGCGGGCATTTTTATTTAAATGCCGCGGGGGATATTTAAATCCCCCGCGCATTTCCCTATTGCGATTTCAAAAATTACCATGCCCCTTCCGGAAAAGGGGCCAATGTAGACGTAGCCTTAGTGTAACTTAGATACTGCTTAGCATATTGTTTCATTTATCCCTGTAGAATATTAAATGTTGTCATCCAGATTACAAATCTTGCTTTTATTTACAGCCCTGAAAGGAAGAGAAGATTAATAAAATCTCAGTTGAAGACAGAAACGTCTGCTGCCTCCTCATCTTCAGTTCCTGTACGTTCAACAGCACTGAGACTTATTGCTGCTCAGATGAATGGAAAAGCTGCTGAATCTTCCTCTTTGGTGCGGACAAGAAGTAATAGGGGGATAACAGATACAGCTGTTACAGAACAACCATCTACTTCTTCAGGAGGAAAACCTTTAATTACAAAACCTAATACTTCAGTGGTGTCAGGGAAAACAAGTAGGTGTGAATAGCATTCATAATTTTTGCAACTTTTTATATTTAAAAATGTGCTATTTCTTAGGCACAAGTGTATTTGTGATTTTTTTCTTAGCACTGCAATGAGGATTAAGAATGGGTACTGTGTATTCAAGTTAGCAGTCTCAGGAAAGCTCAAAGAGGGAGATAGAAAGGCTCAAGATTTTGGTAATAGAAAATGGAGATATTCTTCTCTAGGTAACTAGTTCAAAAATGGCACAGATGCTGAGCCAGCTAAGATTTACAAAAATAATACAAACCATTATAATGAATGATTCAGTGTTGCTTAAACAATGTTTCTCTCTTTTTAGTATTGGAGAATTCCACGAAACATTCAAAGAACCAGAATATTGTATCAGTTCCTAGCCAATCCAGTTACAGTCACAACACTAGGAATAACTCTTCAAGAGAAAATGTGGAGAAATATAAACAAATCAAACGTAAAATGAAATCATCCACTATTAATCAGCAAGGTAAAGGTTTTTCAAAATGATTGTTGCATTTCATATAATACAGTCACTGCAGTTGCACTGCAATTAATCTTAAATTCATAGACATAGAATATTTAAATTTGAAATGGGTGGACTTAGGTCATATGACATCTGATAAGCAAGCATGGAGAATGTGAGTAGCGTAATGTGCTAAAAAACATGGGACAGACTAAGATCTAAGGTAAGGTCATAAGCATCATCTTTGCAGGTGTGCCAGACCAAGAGCACACATGGAAAAAAGTAGATGTTCATCACCCACTGGTGGCCCTGCCTATCACCACCTTCCCCTCTCTCTTTACCTTGCACCTACCACAGAATTGCTGTTCAGGAGACAGAGAAGGAGGTTGTAAGGTGCACTTTTAGAAGGGACAGAAAAAGTCAAGTTAGAAGGTAGAGGGGCTTTAGGGAAGGGGTGGAGTGAGGATAGAGCCTGAGGTAGAGTGGGATTTGAGCACCACCAGGGAAATTAGAAAGTCAGCACCACTGCTTAAGTTCACTGTGGCTGTTTGTAATAACTACCATAAATTCACATAATCAGTAGGTGAATTACTCCATTAAAACACCACTTTGATTTCATAGTTAATGCATGTTTTAGAATCCAGGTATATTAACACAGTATTTATACTGTAATTATGTAATCAAATCGTTAACTTTCTATTAAATGTAATTGCAGATATTGGGTCACATAACAGTGATATGATTTAAGTATAGTCTAAAGTATTACTGAACATTTTAAGATAAGCAATGTTACAAATCTATTGAACGTTATAAAATCTGAAGAAATTTATGCAGTTACTTTTACCAGAGAAGAGCTTGTCTATATTAGGACACTAAGGAAAGGTAATCCAAGTAAACCACATTAAGCCCTTGCTTTGACATTCTTATTCAGTGTTAAATTTCATGTTGTGAAATAAGCTAAACCAAATTTAATTTTGAACATATCCATACGGGGGTTAATGCAGTTTAACTAATCAACTTCAACGTCACATGTTTCTCTAATTCTAATACATTTTCCTGGCTGTACCTATTGTGCCAAAGTTCTGGCCATGTGGGTCTCGTGCTACTGGCTGATAATATTAGCCTCAGAGACTCGCTGTGGTCCTGTACACAAACTCTTTCTCTTTACAGGAGGCAGGATCCACAGCTTAGTGAGCCATACTCATTATAGGCTAGTCCATGGTTTTGGGGTGAAAACCCCTTAATAGTCCTGGATTCCCTTATTGGGACAGGCTCTGCGTTGGCGTGGGGAAGGTTTTGGGGGGGGGGGAATCCAGGCCTGCCCACTATTCTGTGCTGCGGTTCAGGGACCCTAAAATAGCTGCAGCAGTTAAGGTTGTTTTTCCTTCTGATTAGGCAGCTTTTTCCCTGGGCCACTTCCCTAAACATCTCCTCTAAAATGTCTCCCTCTGGTACTTGTTAACCAGCTCTCACACAATTTCTTTTTCTTTCTCCTCTGGTCCATCCCTCTTTGTTTTCCCCCTCTCCTTACCTAGGGGAGGCCTTTTAAAGCAACTCCACTAGCTATAATTGGCTGCAGCCTGACTTGACTGACTTGCCTGAGGGAGCAATCTAGTTAATTAACCCTAGGTGTTTTCCTACCTTCATTTTATTGCAGCAGGCTCTAGTAGTTTATTCTGGAAAGAGAAAACCACTTATCCAGTGCCCTGTATACCTACCTTCCACCAGAGTGTGGCAGGCTGCTGGCTTAGGTCTGTCACACTATGTAGGCCAGACTAAGAGTATAAAGCCCAGATCACTCCTGAATAACAGAACTCAAGTCTTATCTTTGGCTTAATGTAATTTATATTCTCTAATGAAATGGCATTTTGTGCAGTGTATATAATCAAAATCTGAAACCAACTGACTCAATGTGCCATCATGTGGAAAACCATGGGAAATACTAGAATATTATTAGATGAAATCACAATAAAAACAATAACAGAAAATGTGGACATGACCAGAAGTACTAAAATACTTGTATTGATTCAGTTTTCACCAAAAAAAAGTGAGTAGCAATTGGATATTTAACATAGTGAATTCTAGTGAAAAAGAGGTAGGATTTGAGGCTTCTTGGCTCCCAGCCCCAATGCAAGGGAGCCCCCTTTCACCATGTGCTGCTGCCTCTGGTACAGTACTGAGTGACTTTGGTGGTTCACGGAGTGGGACAGCGCCTGCCCCCACGCCGCTGCCTCTGTGGGAGGTATGGGGAGGGTAGCTCTGAGAACCAGTATGCATGGTGAGCTGGCTTAAAAGTTGCTACCCACAGGCACCAGCTGCTGCTTCTCCCTTCCCCCTTCCCTTTGTGATAAGCCAACTAGCCTAATCAGTTAATTTTTTAAACAACTATATGCTAACATCCCTAATTCTCATGACCTCTTAAACTAGGGAAATACAGCCTAGGCAGCGCTTTTCTAAGGTAGCTGCAAAACTGATTGGAAACTATTCCCAGAGAGTGGTTATCAGTGGTTCACAATCAAGCTGTAAGGGTATACAGGCAGTCCCCGGGTTACATGGATCCGACTTACATCGGATCCCTACTTACAAACGGGGTGAGGCAACCCCGCACTAGCTGCTTCCCCCCAGCAGACCAGGGAGACGCGGAGCTGCTTTTCTCAGCAGACACCTCAGCTTGAGAATAAAGGACTGAGGGAAGTGAGGTGCGGGAGAATAAAACTGAGCTCTGGAGAAATGTTTGGCTAGAGTTTCCCCTACAATATATACCATTCCGACTTACATACAAATTCAACTTAAGAACAAACCTACAGTCCCTATCTTGTACGTAACCCGGGGACTGCCTGTATTGAGTATTTTCTCACAGGGATCAGGTCTGGGTCTGTTGAATATCTTCATCAGTAATTGAGATAATGGCATAGATATTCACACTCCTAATGTTTGCAGATGATACTAAGCTGGAGGGGGTTGCAAGTGCTTTGGAGAATGATCTGGACAAACTGGAGAAATGATCTGTAGTCAGATTTGAAATTCAAAAGGACAAATTCAAAATACTCCACTTAGGAAGGAACAGTTACACCACATACAAAATGGGAAATGACTGTACAGGAAGGAGTAGGGCAGAAAGGGAACTAGAGATCATAGTGGATCAAAAGCTAAATATGAATCAGAATGATGATGACAATATTGCAAAAAATACAAATGCAAGGGAGCCCCCTTTCACACTGCACTGCTGCCTCTGATACAGCATGGAGTGGGTGGGGGGTTCACGGAGTGGGACAGTGCCTGCTCCCACACTGCTGTCTCTGTGGGAGGTGAGAGTCTTAAAAGCCAGTTCCTCCCAGCACCATCTCTGGGGTGCCGCCTGCCCCCACCTCTATCAGAGCAGCAGGGGGGGGGGGGGCGGGGGGGGAGGGAATGCTGCTGGGAAGCAGCTGCTATCTTCAGGGGTCCCAGAGTGGAGCTGGGCCCCCTACGGACAGGGGCTGTTGCCACCAAGCTGCCCCTGTTCACGGCAGCCAGTCTTAGCCGCCACGAACAGGGTCTGGTCCAGCACCAGCCCCTATCTGTGGCAGACAGGGGCTGTTAGACTCAGTGTGAGCCAGCACCGAGCAGTCCAGGCTCGCTAATCAATGCACCTCTGCATTTTAAATGTAGTAAATGTTACTGCATTTAAAATGCAGAGTTGCAGTGTGGGTGGCTCTGGAGCCCAGCTCCTGGAGCTACCTCCGCCTCGGCTCTACACAGCAGCGCTTATCACAATTTGTATCGACTATACAATTAGTTATCAACTGTACAGTTACACCGATAATTGCATTTTAACATGCTTAGTCCTAGGACCAATACAGCTACAACACGGCATACAACAGTGGATGAATATGTGATATTGTAAGGTGAGAGGTGTTGTTCTCAGGTATCCAGGACCCAAAGCATTTAGAATTTTATAGGTCAAAACCAAAAACTTAAAATTAAACCCAGATGCCATTGCAGATCTCTGGCAACTGTATAAAAAGATGCTGATGTACTGGTTAGCAAGGGAAGGACATATTCTGCAACAGTATACATTTGTGAATGTTTGAATGCTCAAGGTGTTATTCCACTGAGATAACCCGGTTACCACTTAACAAAGATGTGGACAGATATAGCTGCTCTGCATCAGAAGTCATGTTAATGAATAATTGAAAGATGTTATTGAACTGAAAAAGTTGGGTTTTTTTTTTCATTTATACAGCAGACACAAGATAAAATCCCAGGATTGGTAGTGTGTAAATCAGATATGAATATCACACCTCTTTAAACCTTCCTTAATGGTGGGATATCACTTCTTTTGGTCCCAACACTTCTTGCATTTCATACAAATCTGGCATCGAGACTTTTATTTTTGAAAACTGTTTACATCAGAAATAGAGTCATGGAGCCATAATGACAGAACACTTAACTTACATTAATGCAGTGAGTCCAACAGCATTTTACATTTCCATTACGATTAATTTTTTACTTTAGTATTGGGTCTCAGTCATACAATGTGTCCTACATTTGGGCCTTCACAGATGAAGGCGGTTATTGTATGTCATCCACTCAAACAGTATTTTACAAACAGTGAATGGAATAGATTTATCTGGAGCTTTTGGGAAATAAAGAATGTAGATTTCTCTTACGTATTATTACTCTGTTATTTCTTTACAGCAGTCTGCAAAAATAATGCTTTGACTACAGGAAGCATTCAGGTAAATGGACATGGAGGGCAACCTTCAAAACCTCAAATTAAAAGAGGGCCTGCAAAGAAACTGAAGATAGAGGCTAACAGCAGTGCAGGTGAAGTGGTGCACAAGAAAAGAGGTAGAAAACCAAAAAAATTACAAATTGCTGAACAGATGAATGCAGAGCATAATTCAATCCAGACGACGAGGGACACGGTAATAGAAGAACCCTCAGTTTCTAATGCATGCAATTCTCTTTCTGAAAATAATGTGAAGGAAGCTGTATTACAAAAAAAGGGTCGTGGAGGCAGAAAGCCAAAAAGAAAGACAAAAACACATCATCCAGACTCAGATCTTTTAGTCCCTGCAAATGTTAAGATGCAGACAAGAAGCAGGAGGAAAAAAACTGATGAGCCTGTAGAAGAAGAAGGTTCTGAAGAACTGAAAGATTCTGAACCTCACATGAGAACTAGAAACCAGGGTAGGAGGACAGCCTTTTACAATGAAGATGACTCTGAAGAAGAGCAAAGGCAGCTATTGTTTGAAGACACCTCTCTAACTTTTGGAACATCTAGCAGAGGCAGAGTACGAAAGTTGACTGAAAAAGCAAAGGCTAATTTGATTGGTTGGTAACTGTTACTAAACATATTCCTTAAAATGCTATGAAGCAGGTACAGTTGAGGAGTGAGCAGAAGAAAGACTTCTGCTCCCCTGCTGCTATTATGGATTAGAAGAATATGTTGTGATTTGAAACAATTAGCAAAAAAAGAAAACTGAGAGAACACTTCTTTGAAAGAAATATATATTTTAAACTTTTGCTATTTATTGCCCTCCAGATAGGTTATGCATTTCAACAGTCATTTAGGTCATAGTTAAAAATAATTTGAAGACCTATAAATAAGCAATTCCTGACAATTTTGGAAGTGAAAACTACTGTACTCCTGAGCAGTGCAGAGTATTTCTGTGATTAAATAAGGTGACAGAACTTTTAATGCCACAAACTGAGAACAGAAGTCTATTTTTGACCAAGCAAGGTACATTTTTATTGATTGCAGAAGTCATGTCTCCCAGGAAGGCATATGTTGGGCCAAGAATGGCAGTAAATTAAGAATTACATTTCCATTAAGAACAAATGCAAAATTACCAAATTTTGCTAATCTGAAAATGTTTAATTTGAGAAGTGATGGAATATTCAACTGCAAAAGAAGCCTAGCACAGGCTGTTGGCTTAATCAAAGTTCTGCCAAACAAAGAGAAAATGTAATCACAATATATAAATATATATAAATATATATAAAACATCCACATTGGAAAAAGTTTGACTAATATGTCTAATTTTTCAGACCTTGATTCTTGTATCAATCACTAAATCTCTGTTTATTGTGCCAAAGACTGAAAATCAGTGCAGTGGATATATCCACAGTGGAAAAAGTTTGACTAATATGTCTAATTTTTCAGACCTTGATTCTTGTATCAATCACTAAATCTCTGTTTATTGTGCCAAAGACTGAAAATCAGTGCAGTGGAAAGCCTTTTTTCTTTCACTTCTTTTGTTTTGTTTTGTTTGGTTTGTTTTGGTTTTGTCTGTCAGTACCACAAACACTTTTCAAAGACAAAAAAGACTGTGTATCATTCTGTATAGCAAGTTGTTATAAGTTGTGCTGAGATGTATCCTCCTTTGGTACTTACAGAAGAAAACAACGCACTGGTTGGGGGTCCTTTGACAGAGATGTTTTAGACAAAATTTATAATTAGTTAAAGGATTCAAGGAAATTACAGAAAAAAGTATGTATGGAATTATGATGTTTACTTTCTGATTTGGATTGTTTTCTACAAATTTTGATGTGTTTAGTAAGTTAAAAATGACTTACAAAGAAGTGTGTATGCATAGACTGATACATACACAAACACATACATATACAATATTACCCAGGTATAGATTCTTTTTTTTCCAGCATTTTTTAGCTAGCACTAGAAATTTAAAGAAAGAAAAGAAAAAATAAAATTTTAAATGTCATACTTTATAGTTTAATTTTAAGGGGAAGATTGGTTATTTTCAATTATTAAGGGTTAAAAAAGGCCAAATCACTTTTTATGCAATCATGTTTTATACAGTGGTTTCATTGCACATTGTGTTTTTTCTGCACTTTTTACGGTATACTTATCACTCTGACATAAGTCAATTACACCCTAAAGAAAAATTACATTTAATGATTGTGCCTTGTATTCTATTATTTCTTGCATCCTTAGTAAAATTAAGTTGTCTATTGTAAATGATAACTATATGACTTAGGGGAATGTATTGCTATATATACTGCTGTGGAAAAGGAAAGCAGTTATTTATTTGTTTATGGTACATTTAGTTATTTTATACCTTAAAAACAAACTTTAATACCATTTTCTATTGCTTAAAAGGTATTGTCCAGTTTAAAAAAAATATAGAAATAGTAATATTTTCTAAGATCTGGTATGGTACAAAAATGTAACCAAAAGTTTCAGATATACTATTTTCAGGTAGCACAAGACAATGTGTCATGATCCTGACCTAGAAGAATAAAAATTAAAAATTAAATATTAAAAAAGTAGAGCCTACTGCTGAAAATCTTTACTTATATAACAATTCTTCATTTACAAGACAAGTCTGGTGGGCTTTATTGCAATGCTGAAAAATGAATTTGCAGGATTAGGACCTTTAAACTTGCACAGATCCTCTTTATTCGTTGTGAGCCAAATCTTGGTCTCATTATTCTGTTACAGTAAAATCTGTTAAGGAAATCAGGAGTTTGCCCAAAAGGATTAACTATTAGGTTTCATTTAACTATTATGGATAAAACCCCATGTACTTGGCATTTCTAGTATTAATTTATGTAACTATCTTCATTACACATCTTTTATATGAAATTAAGTAAACTATTTTCCAGAGCCTGACTAGATACTTACACTGTGAGTTTGGGGGGGCATGGATTTTATTAATTTGATTTTCATTTGTTTGTTTATTTTTTCTAACAGATGTTTCATTAATATTAATATACAGTTTCTAAAGATATGGTAAGGTGGAAAATTATGTTTGTACATTTAAAAATAGAATGTTACACAGTTCAAAACTAATTCATTTTAGTGTGAGACTTAACAGTTTTTAATTTTAAGAATCCCACTGATGGTGAAGGCAATCAGTTTCAGATGTTGAATTTCCTGATGTTATCTGCATTGTAATATAAGAAATTAGAGTATATCTAAAATTCGACTTCTGTATTTACACTATTTGTAATGTTTTATATGGCATGATTATGTACACATTTATACACAGAAAATACTGTATATAATGTTGGAGAATGGAATAGCACATGTTCCTGTTACATTGTATGAAAACTGTAGACCTTAAAACCACAAGAATAGAAGGCCTTATCTGCAGAACATAGTTACGTTGTTCTCTTTCTATAGAGATCTGTAACATTAAGCTACAGGGTGGTTGTTGGGGGTTTTTAAATTCACATTTAGAAATTCCGACATTGTTTTCTTTTTATATAGATTGTAAATGATTTGGGTCAAGCTTTTTTTATTAAAACAACACTTTAAAAAGTATGAGATGCAGTGCCAGATTTATTAAAATATATATTTATAATTTAGTTTCTTTAGGTTGTAAAAGTTTATTTATGAGAATTAAATCACCATCATATGCTGTATGTCCTTTTTTTGTTTAAAAGAATGTATTTCAGATATTCACAACTTTTACGTACCAACAAAGAAAAAGAGCTTTTGATTACTAAGTCCGAAGGCTTTAAATGTGAGCAATTAATTGTGGTTTAGCAACCTGGAAGAATTTCAAAACTATAGTTACGTAATGGATAATGCTATCTCAGATATCTAACAAATAGCTCAAAATGGAATATTGAAATAATGTGTTTATTTCACATATAGATTGTAAATATTAAATGAATGTGTTTTATCGATAAACAATCATTCTAATCTTACAAGTCTGGCAGTCATGAACGCATCTTCATTCAAATCCATTGTTCTTTGACTTTTTATATGGAGATAGTGGTAACTATTGGTAAATATTGACTTTAACAACCACCACCAGAGAAAACAATTGACTAAGTGGTATCTAATGCCAGATTATTTTCTATCTTTAGATTAGGAAATAATTGATGTTTCTCAAACACCATTATATTCTAAACATTTTATTTAACAGTAGTCACTGTACTCTTGCCTGCATACTGAACAAGTATTTATCCTGTTTGATTCCATTGTTACTTTGTTATCCAAGAATTTATATTCTGCATTGTGTCAATATTAACTAAGTTTCTTGTCATTGTGCTATAGCCAGTGACCACAACTTTACAGGAAAATGTCTCATGATTAGACTGCTGATATATATGCTTGAGTGTGTTTAGTTTGTACATTTGTGATCAAATTGTTGTTAGACTTGTAAGATTTATAAATTGGTTCGATTTAATATTGCTATTTCACATTTAAATATTTAAATATTGATAACAGGACCCTCAATCATCATGTCAGATGTATTAACTTCTATAAAAAATAAACTGTTACCTTTACATTGTGTAGCAGATAGTTTAGAGGCTATATAGCTGCACCCAGTATTTCTCAAAATCAGCTGTCTTTTCCAGAGCCTTTTGCCATATATTAAAATATTATGCAGAATAAATCAGTACCTCTATTACACAATTGGAACTTTGATACAATTTTTATACCATACTATTAAATCTCTCTTGCTCACATTTATTTCCAGGACCTGATCCAGCCAACACTTTAGCACGTGCTTAAAGTTAAGCACATATTAAATTGTTTGCTGGTTCTGTAGAACTTACATGTTTAACTGGATTAAGCACTGTAGGCTTCATGTACAGTAGACTCTTTTTATACCATCTTTTGTGATCCTGTGAACTCACTTTGAGCATTAATCTAGCTAAACTCTTTTGACGTTTTACTGTATTTTATCCAGAGTCCCTACCTTGTTCTTGCACGCTATATATTGGAGTTCCACACTAGTTAGATTGGGGTTTTTTTCAGGTAAACACTGCTTCTGTCTTCAAAAGGAGTTTTAATGCAAATCGTCTTACACTGGTGAAAACGGAAAGGAGAGAGAGGACATTAACCTCACATGAAGACAACAAAAGCTCATTTTCTCTGTTACCTTTTACTACCTAATGAAGGCAAAAATGTTAACTGTAAAATTATTTGATAATAAATTTTTGTCACTTTTCCCTGAAGTTCTTGTAACTGATTAGATTCTACATACTGAACTGATAAACAGGCTTGTACTTTTCCGCTGTATATTATTGTATAGATATGTGTTTGTATGCAGAAGTAGGTATAACATTTCATATAAATTGCACAAGTCTTAAAATATATTTCTGATAATGAATCTGACACTCTTGTTTTAACTTTATATAAGTTCATAGTTTTAGACAGGAACATGACTTGTATGTTCTAGTATATTGGGGGGATCAACTTCAAGTAGCTTTTAAATTAAAGTTAACTTCTGCATATCTTATCTGTTTCTACTAACTAATATGGAAACCATTTTTTATATTTATTTTATTGTATATTTAAGCAGAAAAAACTCCAGAAAGGTTAGCTTTTCTAATTTGTTTTATTTAAAAAAGTATCACAGAGGAGGTATAAACTTTTCATTCTAAAGACTACAACAGCATCAAGACACTCCAGAAAACCTTATACAGCACTAAAATAAAGATAAAGGTAATTTTTTAGGAACTAGCTATGATAGGCTATTTGGGGAAAATTATCAGGAGGGGGGAAGAGGTCTTTTGGAATTCATTTTAAATGCAGATAAATACATCAGGAAATTCACTTAATGTGATACAAACAACAAATGTGGGAGTAGAGGAAGTATTTTACTATGATTGCTAAAAAGAATATGCGCCCACAAATTGGGAGTACAAAGGAATATTACACCATCAGCACCTATTCTGCACACATGCTATATCGTATGTAAAGTTGGTTTACAGGTATAATGAGAAAAAAAGTTACATTTTTGGACCATATTCAAATGCAAAACCATGACAGCCAACTTCTTAAAAGATCTTGAGTGAATTATTTAAACCCTGTCATTTATAATGTTTAGACATGTAGAATGTAGCTCAATTTTAAGGAAGTGACCTAGAAGGGTTAATTTTGAAACTGACACATTTTCAGATTAAAAATTATAATGCTTATTTTGTACAGAATTATGTAAAACACAAACCTGTTGTATGTAATGGATAACAAACAGTTTGAAAACAATAATTCTTTAGCTTTATTAAGGTCTTTTTCTTCCAGAAATCTGGATTATCATATTATAACCTGCAGTATCACACCAGGATAACAGTGCCCTTTCTTTTTGTACATATTGATTGGAACTTTCTTTACTGTTATGT